TTAGTTTGAAGAGAGGTTTCCTGTTGCTGACACGGATAGATTTGGACTTCATCACAGCCTTCACTTCTCAAAGCACGGTAGGTAAAGTAAAGTTAAATGACGTTTTTATCAAATTAAAAGTACTGATAGAAGAAGACTCGTTTATTTTGGTGCTAGTAAGCAGAGGTATATTTGGCTTTTGAAAACGGGCGAATTCAGTTAACATGACGAACCTGTGGTGATTTTCCTGTCATCTTGCAGATAAAGTTCCTGTGAAGTATCGCTGTTACCGTTGGTTTCTTTTCATGCCGGGTATTGATAAGACAGCGGTGAATAAAATCTTGATGTGATTTGTAAATAGGAAATAACTCTAAAAGTACTAAGCTAGTTTGTACTTAATTGCTATCTTTCTCGTAAATAGTTCAATTTTACACTGAAAATGTTTTACTTTCGGGAGGCAGAGTATTTGTAAGATTAGATTGAACTCGTCTTTATTTCTCATAACATCTCAGTCATTTTTTTTGACCAGGAATAAATGAATATGGGATGCTTGTTCATCGCAGGGTTGCCCCCAGCATTAAATTCGCCTGGGTGGGGAGAGGCATTGTGAGAGTAAAGTGTCTTGCCCGAGAACACAACATAATGTCCCCGGCCAGGGCTCGAACTCAGACACTCGATCCGGAGACGAGCGCAGTGAGACTGACCCTATTTCAAACTCAATACCTTTTCCAGACTAGACTCTGATCTACTTAGAAACTGCTTTGGTTTGCTTCAAGAATTGAAAAGGGCTTCAAGTTCCCGTTGTTCATACCTTTTAAGAGATTATTTCCTGTATTACAATGATGAAAACATCAAGTTTTTTCCAGAAATTTCTCAGTTGATCCTTGTTCCAATCAAAATGCGCGAGTTTAATGTAATGTGGGACTTCGAACCTTATTTTATTTCCTGCTTCCCATTACATCAGTAGACGAAACATGGGAAGGAAATCGAAATCCACCTAGCCGGGGGAGCGGAGGGGAGGGAAGGGAAGGGGCTGACAAAGAAAGTCAAAATTCACAGACTATAAATAGGGAATTGCACTAGCACTTCCACATTGAAAACGTAACAAATAGGTCGTGGAAATTCAGTGCTATTTTTGTGGATGAAATCTTCACCGAACAACGTTGAACATTGAAACTATGGCCTCGTACACACTAATGCATTTTCGAAACAATGCTTTTTCGCCGGAAAAGCTCCCGTCCACGCTAAAAAGCTAGAAAACGCTGATATGCTTTGAGAAAACACCACAACTGTCAGTTACATGTGACCGCATGATCTGAATGACGTCATCATTTTCGCGAGTCTCCGACTTCGATGTCCACAGTAATACGATAGGGCAACGTTTTCAAATGTCTCCACCCTGGACAGCGTTTTCAAATGTATTCGTTTTCGATCGTTTTAGCGTGGAGGGTAGGTGAAAATGCATTTCAAAAAGTATACGTTTACAAAAGGCGTTAGTGTAGATGGAGCCCATAGCTATAGATATTGGAGGCAGAATTGACTCTCCTCTCAATGAGGTGAACAGACGACAACAGATGTTGTCTCATACCTTTCACTTTTTCTTCTTCTAACAGAAATGCTCGACGGACAAAACACAAGCGAGGTCTTGGAAGCCATATGGATGGGTATCGTGGTCGCCAACTTCCTTGTCAACACTTATCGAGTTGAAAGGGCGATAAAGTTGTGCAAAGAATGCTTGATCATTCTAAGCAAGAAAGCTGTCATAACAGAAACAGAACTAATCCAAACATTTTTCGAAGCACTACATGCCATAATTTTCAAAGGGTGCGACGTGATCGGTGACTACACCAATGCCATACAATACGGCAGAAAACTGCTTGCTATACACAGCAGCAAGAGTGCTGAAAACGCAGTGGGAAGAATTAAGACAAGCCTAAGGCTGGCAACGATATATCACCGTCAAAGTAAATATGTAGAAGCAAGACGACTCTCCGAGGAAGCACTGGAAATAAGTAAAGAAATAGGAGACAAAGATGTCGAAGCTGCATCTCACGAAAGTCTAGGAATTGCGTTCCAATCTCTCGGTGAACATGTCAACGCCAAAGAATGTCTTGAGAAAGCACTTGCGATCAAGAAAGAAATCGGAGACAGAGAAGGGGAACGAAGATATTACGGAAACTTAGGAAACGTGTTTGCCTCTCTTGGTGAATATGCCAAGGCTAAGGAATTTCTGGAGAAAGACCTAACGCTCAGAATAGAGGTTGGTGACATGAAGGGAGAAGCATCCTGTTACGTAAACCTGGGAACTGTGCTGCAATATCTTGGTGAATATGTTAAGGCTAAAGAATATTATAACAAAGCTCTTACCATCAGAACAAAAATTGGACAAAGAGTTCAAGGGGCAGATTACGCCAACCTTGGAAGTGTGTCTCTTTGTCTTGGCGAGTATTACAAAACTAAAGATTACACGAAGAAGGCACTTATGATCACAAAGGAAACCGGTGATAGAGGTGGAGAAGCCACATGCTATGGAAACCTAGGAACTGCTTACCACAACCTTGGCAAAATTGGAAAGGCCAAGGAATTTTTCGAGAAAGCGCTGGCAATCAATCAAGAAATTGGCTCTAGAAATGGCGAAGCAGCAGGCTACGAAGACCTGGGAAATGTCTTTCTATCTCTGGGTGATTATAAGTTCGCTAAAGACTATTTTGAGAAAGCGCTTGCGATCAGAAAAGAAATTGGTGACAGAAAAGGAGAGTCACTGTCGTACGGAGACCTAGGGAAGGTTTACAAATCCCTTGACAAATACGAGGAAGCTAACGATTGTCACGAAATAGCACTTGCAATAGCGTTAGACATTGCCAACAGAACTGGCGAAGCGACATGTTACGGAGACATTGGAAACGTATTCCTGTCTATTGGGGAATATGTAAAGGCTGAAGAATACCTGGAGAAAGCACTTTTGATCAGAAAAGAGAGTGGCGACAAAGACGGACAGGCAAATGATTACGCAGACCTAGGAACTGTTTTTCTTTCTCTTGGCAAATATGTGGAGGCTGAAGATTATCTTGAGAAGGCACTTGCAATAACTAACGAGACCGGAAACGTTGAACTACAGTTGGAATCTCTTTCGAGAATTTCATGGTTAAAATGTTTACAAGGAGACATTAAAGGAGCCATGTCGTTTCTCCTTTCAAGTGTTCGTAATTGCGAGGAGCTGCGACGTTTTCTTGGGGACAATGATGAATTCAAGATATTGTTTTTAGACCAACATGGTTCTAGGTACTGGACACTTAGTAGATTGCTTTGTAATGCCGGAAAACCAATCGATGCTCTTTATGTTGCAGAGCTTGGACGAGGCAGTGCACTGGCCGATCTAATGTCAGCACAGTATTCTGTGGTAAAACAGATCTCTGCTCACCCTAAATCTTGGGATGGCATCGAGAACATCGTGTCAAGAGAAGGTAACGGCTGCAGTTGCCTCTACATTTCGTATTCTTCTGAAGATGTAACTTTGTGGGTTTTGAAACGAAGCGGTGTTGTGCACTTCCGAGAAAGGGAAATAACTGACACAAATGTTTTCGGCGGTACAGTTAGAGATTTGGATGACTTTTTGGATAAAAGCTTCAGAGGGTTTGGTATTTTACCAAAGGGAGGTTGCGAAGATCGTTCTTTGAATAGTGGCAAACCGACAACCGGTTCCTCTGAGCAGGAGGAAAGCCTCGCCGGACCTTTTCGCCTTATCGAAGAGGAGGAAGAAAACCAAGATCACGTCTCAAGCCTCTCTTTGTGTCACACAATGATCATCTCTCCCGTAGCTGACTTACTTGTGGAGCCCGAGATCATCATTGTTCCTGATCGCTCCTTGTACCGAGTACCATTTGCAGCATTACAGAATAAATATGGCAAATGTCTGTCCGAGGCCTCCAGGATCCGCATCGTGCCTTCTTTAATGACTCTCAAGCTCATCCAAGACAGTCCTGCAGACTATCACAGTCAAACTGGTGCACTGATAGTGGGAGATCCTGATGTTGGTTTGGTGCGATACAAAGGAAGGAAACAGAGCATATCTAGATTGCCCTGTGCAGGAAAGGAAGCAGAGATGATTGGACGACTGCTGGGTGTTCAACCTTTGTTAGGACAGCAAGCAACTAAGCAGGCGGTACTTGAGAGAATCAATTCAGTGAGCCTGATACATTTTGCTGCGCATGGTGATGCTGAAAGAGGAGAAATTGCCCTTTCTCCTCTTCGCCCTACTAACAGAACTCCTAACGAAGAAGAATACCTGTTAACAATGTCTGACATTTCAAGAGTTCAGCTGCGAGCCAAACTTGTGGTACTTAGCTGTTGTCACAGCGGCCAAGGACAGATAAGAGCTGAGGGAGTTGTTGGCATCGCTCGAGCATTCTTAGGATCCGGTGCACGCTCAGTGTTAGTTGCACTGTGGGCCATTCAAGACATCGCGACAGAACAGTTTATGAACTGTTTCTACGATCACCTTGTTCATGGTGAAAGTGCCAGTGAATCTCTTCACCAGGCCATGAAGTGGATGAGAGCTAACGGCTATTCTGACGTCAGGCAGTGGGCGCCTTTCATGCTCATCGGAGATAACGTGAAATTTGATTTTGAAAAATAAGACAAGAGGAATTAAACTTATTTCTTGAATTCCATCATTGACAAAAGTCCCAAAGGAAATCATCCCATTAGAACTGATCTTTGACCTTTTAACCAGTGATGTTCAATAATTCGTCAAAATAATTTTTAGCTATTTTTTTTTACCATCGAAGGATTTTATTTACTGGGAATCCATTGAAAACAATTCAAGATTAAATAAAGAAAGAAAATGCAAAGAGAAATTCTGAGACTTTGTTTAATACAATGGAACTTTATTACAGAATATACTCGAACCTCCACTGATGGCCACCTCTCTACAACGGCCACTTTTTTGTCCCGGCGGACGGTCCATACATTCACTCGTATTTTAACCTTTCCACAATGGCCACCTCTCCACAACGGCAACGGCCACTAAAGCGCGTCTCAAACGGCCAAAATAACCTCTCCACAACGGCCAGTTAATCAACGACTGAAGTTTACCGTAATGACTCGGTTTAACCTCCTCCTTCCAATAAGCGCACCCTTTCGAATAAGTTAATAAGTTTTTATTAATAAGCCAGTGGCGGATCTAGGGGAGGGGCCCGGGGGACCCGGGCCCCCCCT